AAACGCAGGATTTAAACACGTGTAGCAGTAACGTGATGTTTCATTGAAGTTGAAAAGTCGAGGATACTGCGCAACAGTACTATCAGTTCTAATTTACAGTTGTGATACTTTGAATTTGCGGGTAGAAGATATCCGTCGCCTAGTGGTTTTCGACAATCGATGCTTACATAGTCTAACCCAAATGGGATGGAGTGAGCGGGTTAGTAACTGAATGCAGCGAACAAAAACTCGCTGTCGCATCGGATCGAGCTCAATAGGCTCCGTTGGTCAGGACACGTTTTGCATGTCTTACGGTCGCCTACCGCACCGCGTCTTATTCTCAGTGGCTGTTGCAGGTTGGAGAAAGCCGCGTGGAGGCCAGCAGATTACGTGGAGACGAGGTATGAAGAAATGGACAGAGCGATTAGATAGAGTAGGGTGGGGTTCAAAAGACTCCGAAACTGCATGCTTGGTTGGCTGCGAACAGACAACAATGGCGATCTTGCTGTCACTTTTTATAAGATCAGAATGCTTGAAATAGTGTGTACGCACAGTTAGACTATGTACTCTGTTTTGACCCTAAAGGTTCGCTTTCTTTTCCCGTCCCTAAAATTAAGTCCACTCCCTATTATCCTTACACATTCTTGTTTACCTTGTATGCAATATGAGTTTGGCAGCGATCAGTGAAGTTGGCTTTACTGTATTACGCTGTACTGAATGATGATGATGATGATGATGATGATGATGATGATGATGATGATGATGATGATGAATCTGATGATGATGATGATGATGATGATGATGATGATGATGATGATGATGATGATGATGATCATGATGATGATGATGATGATGATGATGATGATGATGATGATGATGATGATGATGATGAGACATGATGATGATGATGATGATGATGATGATGATGATGATGATGATGATGATGATGATAATGTGATGATGATGATGATGATGATGATGATGATGATGATGATGATGATGATAATGAAGATGATTTGATGATGATGATGATGATGATGATGATGATGATGATGATGATGATAATGAATGATGATGATGATGATGATGATGATGATGATGATGATGATGATGATGATGATGATGAGGATGATGATGATGATGATGATGATGATGATGATGATGATGATGATGATGATGATGACGATTCATGATGATGATGATGATGATGATGATGATGATGATGATGATGATGATGATGATTCGGATTGGATGATGATGATGATCATGATGATCATGATGATTCGGATGATGATGATGATGATGATAATTTGATGATGATGATGTTGAATCGGATGATGATGATGATGATGATGATTATGATGATGATTCTGATGATGACGATGATGATGATGACGATGATGTTCTTGATGTTGATGAATGGGATGCTGACTGATGATGATGATTGTGATGATGATGTTTCGGATGATGATGATGATGATGATGATCTCGGATGATGATGATGATGATGATGATGATGATGATGATGATGATGATGATGATGATGAATCTGATGATGATGATGATGATGATGATGATGATGATGATGATGATGATGATGATGATGATCATGATGATGATGATGATGATGATGATGATGATGATGATGATGATGATGATGATGATGAGACATGATGATGATGATGATGATGATGATGATGATGATGATGATGATGATGATGATGATAATGTGATGATGATGATGATGATGATGATGATGATGATGATGATGATGATGATAATGAAGATGATTTGATGATGATGATGATGATGATGATGATGATGATGATGATGATGATAATGAATGATGATGATGATGATGATGATGATGATGATGATGATGATGATGATGATGATGATGAGGATGATGATGATGATGATGATGATGATGATGATGATGATGATGATGATGATGATGACGATTCATGATGATGATGATGATGATGATGATGATGATGATGATGATGATGATGATGATTCGGATTGGATGATGATGATGATGATGATGATGATGATGATGATGATGATGATGATTCGGATGATTATGATGATGATGATGATGATGATGATGATGATGATGATGATGATGATGATTCGGATGATAATGATGATGATGATGATGATGATGATGATGATGATGATGATGATGATGATGACGATGATGTTTGATGATGATGATGATGATGATGATGATGATGATGATGATGATGATGATTCGGATGATGGGATGATGATGATGATGATGATGATGATGATGATGATTCGGATGATGATTCGATGATGATGATGATGATGATGATGATGATGATGATGATGATGATGATTCGGATGATGATGATGATGATGATGATGATGATGATGATGATGATGATGATGATGATGATGACGATGATGATGAGTTCTTGGTCTGAGCACTACGAACCTGATGCACTTGTTTCAATCCTGCAGGCTTGTACAACATGAGGAGAGTATGTGAATGCCAATATCCATGAAAACGTGGCCATTCCGGTTGCACGAAAAGAGTGGACAGCTAAGACAAAAATCAGATCACACAAATCATGCAATGCTATTTATATGGGTTGGTTCACCCGGGTAGGGAGCACCAAGCACCATCGCAGTGCAAACTAATCTCATTTCACACCCACAAACCGTTACAGAGAAGTAAATCTCCGTATTAATTGCAATAACAGTAGTAAGCACTGATCAGGAAGTACGAATTACGAAGTAGAGATCTCGGATGCAACGTGAGCACTGAATCACAGTGGCACTTGTAGGCAATATCCTACGTAACCCAGACACCAGGAAAAGGCCATAGGAGTAGCAGTTCCTTTATTGAAAGAAATCAGGGGATTAAATAATATGTGGAAAGCAAATCCATCGGACATTTAGGCTTGCGCCAATGGTGTGCTGATATTTCGGGTGTTGTTCAGCCTCTGTCTGGGCCGCACGGTTTCCGATTGGTACAATCAACCAATGGTTTGTAGTATAGAAGCTGTGACACGTACGTGCTTTGTTAACGTCACTCGGGAAGCTTGATTGATCACAGTTATCCGAAAACTGTAACGTGTCGCCTCGTGGTGTGCGTCATCTTGTAGGCTAGTATCACCACAATTGCCCCACATTTTAGTGTTGAACCTTGGTTTTGGTTGCATCATTCCGTTCAGCCAAAATTCCCTGTGACGTAACAATAAGTTGCATTGTCGTTTACCTGGTAATAAGTTGAATTACTGCTCGATCTCAGGGCAAAATCGAAATTTACTTCGTGGACCAAGAAAGCCAGATTTCCGTTCAAACTGTATTGGAACACTGAACTCCTATGTCTTACATCCCCTTTCATCTCCCCTTGTTTCATTCCTCATGTAGATCGATTCACTACTGTCTATTTCAATAACGTCAATTCTGGTCAGTCATCAGTATTTGCAAAGTAAGTCTCCCATGAACATTTGTTTATCTCGAGCAAATGTCTGTGCGATTTTCCTTGTCTCATTTGTGCACTCCCCGGTCAGCTTTACTCAACTCGGCAGCAGCACAGACACACACACAATCTGTTATATGCCACAATTCACAACACATGACAGATACTCAGAACCATCCATTCAGGTTAACTACAATCATCCGTTTCATATCATCAAACTGACCACTGTGTGGATTTTCAGACATTTGCATTTTTCATGAACTGAAAGATTTAGACCCTACATTGAAATTGAACAGGCACGCCAGAAGACAAACAGTGATAGAGGAATTACTCTAGTAAACTCTCATAGGTTGAGTACCAACTATGCTGCCATATATTACGTCTCCATTCGTTCACACGGCTCCTCTCTCTACCCCATTCAAAGAACACTCAATCGGGTCTACTTCCGATTGCATTTGCACCCTATGTTGCATCTGTTATAAACATGCATTGATAGAGTGGATCAATCATCGCGAAATGTAGAATGACCGAACACACACCCCTATGTGCGTGCATGAATCAGCCTGCACCACATATGCTGACTACATCACGCAGAGCAACCTGGAGCATCGCACGCTACTCGGTCGAAGACGGTCTTAAGTTAGACCCTGCAAACGTTTTCTTGCTTTTCGGTTCTCGGTTATCTCAACCCATCGTGATAAACACTGACTAAGGATACTCGAGGCATTATCGATCGCTCACAGCAACCATACCTTGTGTGTCCAAAACCAAATGTCCTTCACCGCTGGCCTTCCCGAGTCATAACCAATTTTACACGTTAGCGACTGATGGGGGTACATGAACAGAATTCTTCTCACAGTTTTTCTTATCTTCTGAACTGTCCTCGCATATTCATTTGTTCGTCAGTTCTCGATTGAAATGATGAAAATATTCAACCCGAGAGACACTGATATATCTATCGGTTGAGCGTAGTTTCAGTGAGCCGGAGGCAATTTAGCAAGACACACGTGAAGTGTTTTTTGTGTCTCGTCAAGCGTGCACGCCGAGGACTAAATCGCTTTCCGATTTCCTGATCAGGCCGCCGATGCTATCAGAAATGCGCATGATCAGTTTGTAGGGCATCGCTAGAATGTACCAGCTAAAAAAAACTCGGTATCGCACAACTAAATGGAACATTATGTTTTCGCTAGGCCCAGATTCAGTTTTGTTTCGTTTCTTTGGTACATTTTCATCAGAGATCCAGTGTTTTCATTTTCTTTAATTCGCAGTTATCCGTAAACTGTGCAAGTCTGACCAGTACGATCTCGTTGTTACAAAGCGTTTCTTTTCACTGTTTTTCGTTTTCGTTTTCCACCGTTTCATTTGCGCGCTCTAAGCCGTCCACCTAACTTGTGATGAAACACGAATCGCTCATCTCCCCCGCCTCCGGCCTTCACTATCCCTCCCCTCCCCTCCCCACATACACAAACACACTCCACTTCTCATCCGGCACGCCTCCCGTTTTTATTCTATCCCCTTTCTTGCACTGGAAGACAAATAACAAGGGATACTATCTCAATAGTAACCCTTTCGAGTTTTCGTCCACTGATTAGCCTGTTTACAACATGGTAACAGAGAATCGATAGTTTCTTAATTGTTTTTCTTTCATATTCACTGGGAATCATATCAAACGATTACTTGGATGTTGGTAAGGACTTTTGCTTGTGATTTTACAAAGCGATTCCACAATAAAAGAAGCGTGAACATATGAAATTACAGAGAGAGGGAGAGAGAGAAAGTAATCGAAGGAGATAATTCGCGAATAGCAGCTTAAATTATTTGGTCATGTAACCACGAGGCTGAGATTACGTCGCCCAACTCGAAGGTTCATATTTCGAGACCCGACACAGTAACACAGGCAGTTCGGACTGCTGTTGGAAAAACCTGTTTTTGTCAGCCAGTACAAGAAAGTGACTGAAAAAATATGATATGGGTAAAAGACGTGCGATCTTTCATACAGTGGCACAAAATTGACAACTCCGAAAAAAGCGATTTGCAAAACAGTTTCTTGGGATATCCGATAGGTCAGTCCTAAAAATAACATTCTTATTTCGATTGATGTCGTCAGATTACCCGTCCGGCATCCGCTTGGGTGCGAAATCAGTTTGTTCGAGGAGGACAGATACCAAGCACCTAGTGGTATAAATCTGGTTTTATATGGTGTTTCCCCAGGGGCACTGGGTCACCAAACTTAACAAATGTCACATCTATGAACTCTTATGAAATTTATATCAAATAGCATTGATGTGATACAAAAACAAAAATTTATTCCTGTAGAAATTGACAGATTGTCACTTCTGTTAACTTTTAAATCAAAACTGGAACTGAATAACCTCCTCTTTCTCGTAAAGGTCCCATTTTTCTTCCTATCTATCTGATAACTGCGTTTGTTTACAAATCCTACAG